AAACGTCTGGGAATGTACCACGTCCACGGTCCGACTGGAAATAATTATGCATACAATGGACTCAGGACAATGTGCGTTTCTATCAGTCTTCCTATCATTATGACCAAGTTGCGAAAACAAGGTCAATCAACTTTAATATTTTAAACTCATCCAAAGTTATTTTTCGAATTAAATATTGTTTTCGTGACAACCAGTAAATCAGTAATTTGAGATGTATTCACCCAATTCAGTTTAAGGTGATGAAGGACTGGTATAACAAGAATGTCCCCACAATGATATGAGTTTAGCTGACGTTTCCATTGAATTTCACCTAACCTTGCTTTCCCAAAATTTGTTCTTATCCAGGATGAACTGCAGTTTCGACCTCGCATCGGCTTATCAGCACCCTCAGCGGGAGTCGAACCGCGACAGTGTAGGATGGGAGCTTGACGCTCTAACCACTTAGCTACACTGCCACGAGCGCCATTTAGGTCACAGAAAATGTGAATTTTCAAGGAAGGCCAGGCCTTTTTTTGCCATATTATATTCTTTTAGTTGAATTGTCGATGAAGCAAACGTATATCTGCTATAACAATCGACTACTATACTTTATTTTTTGAATTAAGTATTGTTTTCGTGACAACCAGTAAATAAGTAATATGAAATGTATTCATCCAATTTCGTTTAAGGTGATAAAGGACTGGTAGAAGAAGAATTTTCCCACAATGATATGAGTTGAGCTGATGTTTACATTGAATTTCATCTAGCCTTGATTTTCTAAAAGTAGTTCTCATTCAGGGTGGACTGCAGTTTCGACCTCGGATCGGTCTTATCAACACCTTCAGCAGGAGTCGAACCGCGAGAGTGCAGGATGGAAGCTTGAAACGCTAAACACTCGGCCACACTGCCACGAGCGCCTTTTGGGTCACAGGGCAAATGTGAATTTGTATTGTCGGAAAATTCTCATTCTACCAGTCCTTCATCACCTTAAACGAAATTGGGTGAATACCTCTCATATTACTTGTTTACTGGTTGTCACGAGAACAATACTTAATTCGAAAAATAAAGTATAGTAGTCGATCGTTATAGCAGATAGACGTTTGCTTCATCGACAATTCCACCAAAAGAATATGATATGGCAAAAAAAGATCTGGCTTCCTTGAAAATACACATTTGCCCTGTGTCCCAAAGGGTGCTCGTGGCAGTGTAGCTGATTGGTTAGTGTGTTAATCTCCTACCCTGCACTGTCGTGGTTCGAATCCCTTTGAGGGTGTCGATGAGACCGATGCGAGATCGAAACTGCAGTCCACCCTGGATGAGAACAACTTTTCGGAAAGCAAGACTAGGTGAAATTCAATGGAAACGTCAGCTCAACTCATATCATTGTAAAAAATTCTTCTACCAGTTCTTCATCACCTTAAACGAAATTGGGCGAATAGATCTCATATCATCCAAAGTTAGTAAAACTGTCCCTAAATAATGCTTCTTATGTCAAGTTTGCTTAAAATAAATGAAATATATCATATACCATATTAGCCAATGTGAAAAAGGAGTAAAATCCATCGACTGGTTCATGTTTGGAATTCTTTTACGCAATTATCCAATTGGACTTTTATAATGGCGGAATGTATTAGGAGAAAGCTTGATCCTTTTTCAAACTGTTGTTGCCAATACTGCTGATGCAAAGAGCCAAACTATTTTTATGAAGTGCATTGCTGTGGATAAAAATCTTGATATTTAGGCGTATTGGGCTTCCACGACAACCAGAAAATTAACCTCATCACTGAAGTATATTAAAGTTGAAATTGTATGGCGTTCTATTTTCTTTTTAAGGTCAGGATAACGATCTTTGCTCTAAGTGGTAGGGTTGGTGTGTTCGGTTTCGTGTAGAAGTTTCTATCCATAATTCGACTTAATATTTTCTGACATGCATGCATACGTTATAAACGATATAGATGGATCCATGCGTATATTATTAATGTGAGGCGCTAAGGCCTGTTCATCCCGATGCTGAATAGTTCGAGTTATTTTGTTTACAAAGTGCATATTCTTTTTTTCAATATTTAATCTGCTTTATACGCCCAAGGAATGCGCTAAAAAACAAACTGATCTTAGATACGGAGACCAAGATGATGTGGCCTTCTCTTTGGTCGCAGTCTGCTTCGGCTGTATAATTTTGGGTTGACCTCGTTTTCGCAATTTGTTCAGAGCGGCAAGGAAACCTTGTGGATCGTGCATAGCCCTGCATCCTCTGCCATATTATTCGTGATTTTAAGCATCTTATTATTGACCTGTTACCTTCCCAGACGTTTATCGCCATCGTCAGTGAGAGGCGCCATCGTTAGCACAGTGTTACAACTTGTCATTTAAATAAGTTGTAACTCTGTAACAGCTGTACCAAGTTAGTGGTCCGGTATTGGAAATCACGAATACTATGGCCGAGAACACATGAGAGTCTCCCTGTTTTTCCGACGAAGTTGTAAAAGTGATGTTAAACCAATAACGTACAGATCTTGTTTTTTTTATTTTTTTTACTATATGTTTGATAAGATATCTGTAGAATTTTCATCTTATCATAACTGGAAATCTCTTTTTATAGCTCTATTTTTGAATGTTTGTAAATCTTATCTTTGCTCAGATTCATCTAGTATGCAATTCTGCTACCTCTACATCCAGATGCAATTGTGTTCACCACACAGCCTGCGTGACTGGCTTATGGAGAACAATAATATCCAGCTACGACCTGCTAGGCCTGTGCTCTATGCCATGTTCACTCAAATCGTAGATGCTGTGGCCTATCTTCATGCAAACGGGCTGATGCATCGTGATTTGAAGCCCTCTAACATCCTTTTTGACGCACAGCGACGCCTTAAACTTGCCGATTTCGGTTTAGCCACCTCTCTTTTCGAGGAGGAACAGGTTCAGACATCTATGGAAGTTGAGAATTGCGGTCCTGAAGATGCCGTCAATAATGGACCCGAGCTTCATCTTTACTCGACACATACTGCCTCCAGTGATACAGAGTCAATTGACTGTCTATCCGCAGTTTCTACTCCATGTGCAGACTCAACGTCTACCACTTGCAGTGGAGGCATGATTGTGATTGCACAGACGCCTACCAATTCCATACTAGCAAGCTCTGATCAAATTGC